CGACCCGAGCCGGTCGGAGTCAGCGAGGGACTTACTACAAACTCGTACACTTCATAAGGTGAGAGTTGAGCCTTTTGCAGGGAGGAAACTTCAAATCCCTCTGCACCATTACCTGCCAAATGAAAGACCTCTTGACCAAAGAGATGAAATACGCGCCAGAGTCGTACGCATATTGTACAGCTTGATTTCATTAGCCATTCACCGGTGCTTTAGCTTTAAAATGTGTGTAAAGTTGGAGTTTCATCTTACATGCTGTAGTTGTATGTATACCCACTGCGGAGCGAAAACCGGGGACCAAACGTTTTGGACAGTCAAAAAGCTTGGCTAAATCTCACGCGCGTGACGCGTCTGAAATTTTGTTTTGTGATTTTTGCAGCACTCACATTTCTACGCATACATATTCATCTAATCTGATCTGCGCATATTGTGACAATTTGAGTATGCCTTTGACTCGCAGTAAGTCTTTGGGCACCTTAAACCTGTCTGAGAAGGGGCAGCAGCCCACGCAAGGCCACCAAAGCAAGAAGCCGGTATTCATAAATTCGATTTTCAAAGGAACTCGGGCAGCCAGGAAGGCTCTGATTGAAGAAAACTTCCGCAAACACTACGGTTTCGAGCCGCGTCCATTGCAAGTGGAATGTGTCCTTTGGCTTATTGAGAAATGGAACCCATTTCTTCGGGCTGGAACTGGATTTGGAAAATCCAAGGTGCCTGAGATGTTTATTGCCACATATCCTCGCTCTAGTAAGGCAATGGTGATGATAATGAATCCGTTAGATGCACTAGGAAACAATCAGGTATCTCTTGACTGTTTTATATTTATCCTACAATCTCATGATTCACTATGCTTACGGTTGGTTTCTTCAATTAATATAGGTGGAAGAAAAAATTGCGGCAGGTTTCACTGCTGTAAACCTCACAAAAAAAACCTTTTCAAAAAAGGTTTGCAAAGAAATTCTAGATGGGAAGTATCAGTTCATCTACTTGGTGAGCTCTTATCATTTCCCAACAAAACTTTGCGCCATGAAATTCTGACCTTGATTGATTGTCTCAGAGTCCGGAAATTTTTCTCAACAGCCCGTTGTTCACAAAATCATATTTCAACCCAATTTTCCAAAGAAGATTGGTATTGAAAGTTGTTGACGAAGCCCACCTTATCTACTGCTGGGGTCTTGTAGCAAGTGGAGTCGCGCGAACCATGAGCACCTTCAAAAAACTTCAAGATATTGGAGTCTTTAGGCCAAGCTACGGAAATCTATATGGACGCTTCCTCGCAACCGATCACGCTCCCATTTTGCTCATGTCTGCTACTTGTCGGCCCAAAGCTATGGACACAATCAAGAAGAATTTACGGCTTGGCGACCATAACCTCAAGTTAGAAACCGCTGAACTGGTTCGACAAGAAATTCGCCTAATTAGAATAACTCTAAAGCACCCTCTGAAGAGCGCGAAGGATCTTAGACAGTTCTTTGGTGATGCACGTTTGATTCCCGATGGCAACCTTCCCCCAACTCTTATCTATTCTGGCACCCAGAACGGAACGGCAGAGACCTTAACTCATGTCAACATAGCACGTGGCCGACCTGAAAACTCACGAAATGGGATGAGCACCTGCGCGCGTCGATACCATGCGGCTACAGGACCAGATGATAAGGCAGATCGCGAGGAGCATTTTGTCAAATCTCATTTTCCAATCATGTGCTGTACAATGGCGTTGGGTCTAGGCCAAAATTGGAAGTTAGTACGTCGAGTCATAGTTATGGGAAGGATGGATCCCGCGGCGGTGGTGCAAATGTTTGGCCGGTGTGGCCGTGATGGTCGGCCTGGTGTTGGTATCCTTTTGGTTGAAGAGACGCGATCAGGTGCTGGGGCAAAAAATAAGCCAAATGCCTTTGGACCTTCCAAAGATATGTCAGATGACGATAGGATGGATGCGCTTGCAATAACCCCGGTTTGTCTCAGAGTAGCAATAGCTGTAGACAACTAGTGAGTACAATTTTCTTAGACTCGTCTATTTGACAAA